GTGTAGAGCTAAGAGGGTACCTCGAACTGCGTTGGGGAATGCAGATACATAAATTCATGAGCTAGTAACAACCCAGTGACGCCACGCTAGCTTCCGTGCCGGTGTGGCCGCGCGCCGTGGCGGCAATCGTCGTATTCATGAACCGACACGGTAATTAGGGACACTAGCTACTCGCCTCGCAACCGGAAGTCGACTCAAGAATCCTCCCCTCACTCAAGGAGCTACGCGGGGAGAATATTCGCCGGAACCACTTATGCATTCCGTTTCGTCTGTAAGAAAACTGTACTGACTTACAATTTACAATTGCGATTTCAGTTCCTGACCAATTTGAATCAAAGATATGCTTTGATATTGTTTTGACTTTATGTTATCTTGCAATTTTTTTCGTGGAAAAATTTTTAAGATCATACAACAAACAAAACAAATTAAAAATTACATTTATTCATTCTTTAAATCATAAATAAGTTTAAATCGATAAAAAAATTCATTAAGTTTTTTCTGTATTTACTGAACGTTTTTCGGTCGGAAAAAATCTAATTAGGATTATTACGAGAATTTAAAAATAAAAATACCTAAATTGATTTAGTTTTTACTTATATCATTGGAAAACTATATAAATAAAAATCACTCGTTAGAGTGTAAAGACCAAATAAATACAAGACACATTACCCGAGGTAGTAAGCCAATTATTTGTGTGGCTTGACCCAGAGGCAATGATACCCTAGGCTCTGCATAATTTCGTAGCCAGTTGTAAGGTACGAGGGATTTTTAATGAAGATATAACCGACGCGAGACATCTTTACGTCCGTGGATCTGCGTAAGTACCGAGTACCGCTACTCGTCGAATAAAATGATCGCGTAATATAAATATTATTTGAATAATAAATAATATATAAAAGTACAAAGAAACAAAGAAACTTATAAATGCAAATATATAAATAAATAAATAAGGATTTTTTATTATCAATTATAACTGTAAGCCCTGGACTTAAATCAAACTATAAATAATAATGGGAGTAATAAAGTGAAATAATAATTAGTAATCCCCACAATTATCGCAAAACAATTGCCAAAGTGTATTGATGCAAAGGAAACAATGACGAGTTAATGGTATAGTTTAATTGTTTAATTGTCAGAGAACTAAACAAAGCTTAAATTTATTTATTAAAGAGAGAATCGCATTACTCACGGAAGTGAATCAAATAAATAAAATAAAAGTATATATAACATATATACCACGCCCGCAATCTGCAATTTGCTTGATTTCCGAGTGCAGCTACAGGTATTTATACACACATTGTATTATAATCCTATTACGGACATAATTTCTTTCGTGGCAGATTTTAAATATTTCCCGCGGGTTTTTTAATATTTTTATTCATCACCTTATTCTCTCGGTGATGTACGAATTCCACTTAAATAATACGCACATCATTGCGGTGTCGATCAAAAATTATCCATGTATATTTATAAAATATCGCATACAATAGAATGCTGTTATGTATAATAGCAAGAATTTTATTTAAAAGGTTGTCGAGACGCGCGAAAGCACCTAAAATTACCCATAACGTATTTTTCCATTAGGCGAAATGTGTCCGGGTTAAGTTTTTGTAAATTATGGGTCTTACTTATCGTGTACAAGAGCACCGACGAGAGGTCGAGAGCCCGGGTTTTTAAAATAAAAATTACCTTCGAGACCTTACATAAAATATTGCTAAATAAATGTTTTTTCCTTTTTTTTTTTCTTTTTTCGAGTACATTAAAGACTTTTAAGACTTTGAACGCACTATACTTTTTACGCTGTACCAAAAGAGTCATCCGAGTAATTTAATGATAATAAAAAAGCAAAATCTGATGATAGAGGCCCGGGGTTAACGAGCCGGTCCCAGGGGATGCATCAAACGTGGCAAGGGAGGAAAAAACCGTCGAACTATAGACCCATTAAAAGTTGGCGACCTGGGGTGTCCTGACGGTAATCGTGGGAGCCAAAAGGGGCTACCATCTCTTTGCTCCTAACTTGTAAGTGAGCTGCAAATGTCGTTAGGGTACACTGGAGCCGTCTCAGAAAAAAAAATATAAATTACATCGTTCATGTACTTTTGGGGTGATTAGCGTTTTTAATATCACGCCGGGTGTCTTTTAATTTCCCAGTCCTGGCCAGAAAAAAATTTTTTTCTCTTAATGCAATCTAAGCATAAAAAAGACATTTAGAGCAGACCTAAAAGGATTCGTCAATAATTTTTTACAATTATTGCGCCGCTGAAGGGTTGATGAGAAATTTTAAACAAAAAAAAAATAAACCAGTCTTGTCGATGGAAATTACATAATCATACTGATAATAAATCACGGTGACATTTATCTCAATTTAACGATTACTTAATTATTTTCTTGGCATTTGAAGAAGATGTACTTATTACCTGAAATAAAAGTCCCGAGGTAAGCGCGATGGGACAAAAAAGCGTTCTTTGTTTTTGCCTTGCAGAGACAGAGCACGAGAGAAAGATATCGAGGACATTGCTGGTGCATGGGCACAAAATAAACGCGAGCCCCTTTTGCGGTAAGTGTATCTAATTAGCCCGACGTTTACGTCAACGTTTACAATGATTTACAACGAAATTATGCCATGGACCTCGGCCGTAGCTCGAGCAGAAAGAGTAAAGAGCCGCGGCAAACTTGGCTAAAAACTACGAGACCATTTGGTCATTTATCATACAACGGGCGTCCCGACGATGCCCCGAGGGTGCAGATAGTAGAAAAGAAAAGAGAAAAGAGGAGGAATATTATCCATTGCCCAGACTAATCGCGTTCGAGACTAGCCTATCTTCCTCATCCTCGTCTTCTAGGTCTGTCTCCTGCATAGTAAGCCAGGGCTAGGACTTGGATCATCCTTAATAATTTAGCGTCTCTCGTCTTCTGAGAGAGTTCTGGAGATCACGGTGTAGGGTTCTACGCCGCAGTTGGATAAATGACTCGCGTATGAATTTACGGTCTTATGAATTATTGGCGACGTGTCGATCGTGAGCCAAGCATTTCATGCAACACATTTACCATCTTGACACATCGTAAAATTGATATTTTTATTTATAAATATGAATTATGCGATGCTCTAAAAGGGCTGCAATTATGATTATAATGATGATGATCGGATCAATGGAACCAAGAGGAAATTCAAACAGGTGCTGGGTCATCTGGATAAGACCAACTCGAGGACCGTGTGACCAAGACGGTACACAATTATTTGGTAAGGACAAGAGAGAGCATCAGGATTCGATACTAAGGGAAGATTGTATTGATGTTAATGTTATATATATATATATATATATATATATATATATATATATATATATATATATATGTGTGTGTGTAGTGTGGCCAAACGAGCGCTATATTATATTATATAAAGCAACACCTACGTGTCTCGATACACACATAACGCCTCCAAATTACAGAGCTCAGGTCCATCCATCACTGGAGGGTCCCATACAACGGACCCAGGAGAGGTCCTCAGCAGAAACGCCCCGGCGTTTAAGTCGTTAGCAATTTCCTGCACGGGACTATTTTTTTGGGCCCAAATTCCATATGGCCCTTGCCGTATTCCATAATACTTAATATAAAATATACTACGGCTGTTGGTTGTTGTCGTCTTTCTCTGATATTCAGCTTGACTGTAATCGACGGGTAATCGAGTAAATCGATCGCTCGATTGCTTTACCGTCATTTACTACCATTCATCCATTCGGGAGGAGAACTAATACAAAGAGACCGCATAATATACCGAGGATAATTTGGTTTTTTTCATTTTTTTAGCACAAGAAAGAATGAAAGAGTTTGAATGTAAGAGTTGTTGAGAGAATAGCCGGCAGGGAGAAGCAGTGAATAGGTTTGGAATGGTGAAAAAGGTAGGATTGTTATTGCTTTACGGATGGTATAAGCGAGTACTAGTAGACCGAGTGTTGTGGATGTTGATATTACAGTTGCGCATTGTTCTTGGAGAAGGTTAAATAGAAAAATTGAATATTTATTCCGAACACGGGATAATGAGTCCTTGCAAATTTTTTACAGTTTTACTGACCTAAAACAGGCTACTTCAACATCAGTAATACGAAAAAAATAAATTTTTTGGAATTGGTAATTAGAAACAAATTTTTCGAGAGTTTCAAAACCTAATCTCTCTTATTATTTAAACACGAGGATGTAATTTTTAAAAAATCTAATTTTCTAAATAAATAATTAAAGAATTAACTTTTCGGCCTAAAAACTTCGTAGGAAATGCAAAAACAATTGAATGGGTACATAATAATCATTAGAAATAAATCTATTCGATGAGAAGTTTATTTTACTTTGGAAAGAGCTTTATTTTTTAGGATATAGTTTATTCTTACAGTTTTAATAAGCATAAATAAATTGTTAACTTATTAAATCAACTCATTGGTACAACAATATTTGATTACATTGTTTTATTGGAAATATCGACGTCTTATTAACAAATTTTTTTTTACATATTCTATTTATGCAAAAAACACAACAAATAAAAAATTTTTTATTTAAAAATCTAATCAATATTTATCCTTTGCATAATATTTTTGATTAAGATACTTAAATAATATGTATTTAGTCTATTGCTATATAAAAATGTTAAAGAATCACCTCCTAAAAAATCTTGAGTCAAACAATTTATCAATTAAAACGTCGACATTGTTTAAACACATTCTTATAAATTTAAACAAGCTACTTATTTTAGTTCCAAGGTACAAAAAATATAGGATACAATTTAAAATATCAGTGATTAATGCTGAAATAAATAATCATTACTATTATTACTTAACAGACCATCCCAACATAAATGAATAATCAAGAGATTTAATCAATCTTGTCTCAAATATGGATATTAAATCGCAGATAAAGAAACCAGAACCCTTATACCCCTCAAATCATCCCATTGTCACCATGATACCTCAAATTATCTAATAAATCAATAAATAAATAATAAATATCTAGTTTCAGTGTCTGGTTTCTCCACTGGGATCATTTCCATTGTCTTTGCGCTCTAGTCTCGCGCTGGGACGGAATCTGTCATAGTTAGGGTACTGCCCAAATACTTTTCTACCAGAAACTCTTTGATTATCCTTGACATTTATCTCAGTTCCGATTTGAACTGGCCAAGGTGCTTTGTCTTGTTCAACCCTAGCCTCGACTCCAGGAACTGGCTTCTTGGGATCTTCACGTTCTCGAGTTTCAGGAGCTTCTTTGTAGCTGGCGTGATCCAAATCTTGGTCCCGATAGCGATCTTCTTCCAATCTTTCATTAAAAGGAGCATAAGGATGATCTAAATAGCTGGATCTCTTCACATACGGGTCGTAAGAGTTGTAACCTTGATAATTCCGATACTGGTAACTGGTGTCATCTCTGTCCATTATACTGGGCATTCTTTTATGGTACCGATCGCGTGTAATCATTCCAACAGGAATCGAAGCTCTACTCACGCTGTCATACGGTCTAGCATAAGTGCGAAGATCTACAGGCTTGCGGACGATTTCAGGAAGCGTTGCATAGTATATTATCCTCTTGGGCTTCGGTGTTGGGCGATTCCGGTACATATCATAGTCTTCAATGCGGTAACGATCCATAGAAAAAGCAGCAGGCTCATTAACTCCTCTAACGTAGTAATCTCTTTCTGTTCTGAAGTGATCTGGGTAGTAATAACCTCGGGAGTAAGGCGAATCAGGATCTCTCTCCCGAAGACTATTGCGATAAGGAGTTTCGTCATAAGACCTAGACATCGGCAAGTCTCGAGCCATTGGTGCGTCTCTGGGCAAAGGCAAATCCCGAGACTCTCTTCCTTCGAAATTTCTGCGATTTGCCGTGACAAAATCAACATGTGGAGCCTGATGACCTCGAGCAGATGATCTTGAAACTTCTTCTTCATTTACACTGGAGGTACTTTCATCTAAATCTGTGCGATGGCGAAACTCAACCGCCAATGGTTGCTTGGACCAAGACTCCGAAGCACTCAGACGAGGTTCTCGTACATTTTTAGTAGCAGCTATTTTTTCCATTTGTTTTTCATCAACATCTCGACGTACGCGCAAATTTTTTTCTTCTCCAACAGAAATATTTTCCACCTCGTCGTCATTATCAGGACAGTAACCACGTTTTCTGCTAGTTCTTTGAGTTCTCGATTTTTCCCAAGGACCTGGTAGCAATTCGACGTCTTTTCGCGAGTTCTTATTCACACCCTGGAAGATTGGGTGATCATAAATGACTTCTGGGCTGTAATAATCATTTTCCATGTCTTCGATCTCCTTAGCGACGCGATTCTCTCCAGATTCTTCAGGTGAAGTATCAATTTCCTCCCGATCTTTAATGGGCTCTTCTTGAATATTAACCGGCGCTTGATTTTCGCGTGACGTCAATCGACCAATTCCACTGACACTCCTCACTTCGAAGGCCGACAAATCTAGCCGTGGCCATGTCGGATGTGTCGTAATTTCGGCGTTTGGATTTGGTGATATTTCCCAAGCTTTTCCCACTCCGTCAGCTGAGCTGCTCACCAGTAGGCTAATCAGAATTGCAATCAGTGCAATCATTATGCCTAGAATGAATTGAAAAAACAATGAATATAATAAAATTTAATTTAATTAAACGATAAATACACGTGATACAGTGAAATAAAATTTATCACACCCATCAAGATAATTAAGTTTTAATAATCACTCATGCATAAATGTCACGGCAATCTTTCTTTCACTTCAACATTCACGGTATACTAAATTAAACTCTACAATAGCTCCTAGTTTATTTGTTCGGTTGTGTCGCATTACCCTAACATAAACCGTGACAAATATCATTTCCCTAAACACTTCCGTGGCTTTTATGCAAAAGATCGACGAGCCTGAGATCCGGCTCTGACTTTCCGGTCACCGCGGGAACCAAAGCAACTTGTTTGTTATAATTTCATTTTACCTGTCAAATCACACTCTACTTTTTATTTTTTATTTGAGATAACAATAATTATCGATCTCATGGTTTGTAAGCAAACCAACGGTAAGCTACTGCAATTTTAATCTACACTTTCAATGACAAACACAGATTAGAATGATAGCGGAACAAATTTTTGTAAGAATTTAGTAGCAACGTCCTACGATTGTTGTATATATATATATATATATATCTACTACTAAAGTTACCAGTTCCGGTATATCATAATCACAATATACAGTTATGTGTAGTTCAATGTACTTCACAAATTCGCAATTAAACATTTAATTGGTTAATAACCTGGGAATCAGTGTGCGACACTTTAATTTCAAGTAAACGCCTCGTCTGCGCGATAGTATAATTGCTTCTTTAATTAACGGACCGGTCATTTTATTTTATCGTGAAATTTTTTTAAATCTTTTAATAAATTTAATAATTTTTATTTATTAAAGTAACTAATTGAAAATAAAATAAATCCGAGGGGTGTAGAAAAATTTTATGGAAAATTTGAATTGCAATAAAGTTTAAAAATAATTGCAAATGACTTGAACTAAATATATATTTTTTAATTGTAAAGTTAAATAAATAATAAAACTTACCCAATTGTGTCTATAAATTAAGTATAGTTGTAACTTTAAGTGTAATTGTTTAATAAAAAGGAGTTTGTCCACCCCCGCGATGTGGCTTGGCTGAAGCAACAGTGATGACTGAAAGAACTGGTCACAATTCAGTACATACTTGCTCTGTAAAGTCACATCACACTGCGTCACCGTTTAAATAAACCAACGGTATAATAAAATTTACTACCCCCTACCACGCTAAAAAAAAAACCCATTAAGTAGACACTTTACTGAATTACGAATAATATTAAATTTAATTTAGTATTTTACTCAATCCCGTACGCTGCTGATTATAGACTAAAAAGCCATCTTATAAAACTCAACGTTTCATATTCAACATCTAATGATCTGCGATAAATTACGCGCAATTTTATCGTGAATCATGAGATCCTCTTGAGATCATTAGACAATCCCGTTGCGTGGTATCTGACCTTCTTTAATAGGGCCCATAATCTTAAGATCTAGCAAAAAGTCTCACGTCCTTATAAATAAAAAATCCCGGAATCCGTTACGTTATCATTATCAAATTAATTAATTGCTTTGTTAATTTATCTTTAACAATAAGAAATAAAATTGATGTTACTTTTATGCTAATCAGGTTGATAGCAATCAACACTGCGCACTTTGCTGGGAATCTTATTCAAGTAAAATCAAATTCATATCAGTGCGGGAAACTCAGCGGTTGGTAAGAAAGAAAAGTTCTCTCTCAACCGCTCTCTAGATGGCGTGACGAGGTTATACAGCACGACAATAACGATAAAGATACATGTGTTGAGTACCTAATTCTTTCTTACTTCGTCTAAGGTAAATGCAACATGTCACAATGACGCGTTTGTTAAATCCGTCGTTAATAATTACATCTTTTGCTAAAAAATAATTTTATAAAATTTTAAATAATCAGGGATATGTTACTAATAATTATTTTAATTTATTTCAGAGGTCTAAAGTGCGTCCATTATGTCAGACGTCGAAAAGTAAGTTTTGCTTTGCTTTCACTTTAATTTATTTATTTATTTATTTACTAAGTTTAATTTTTTTAACTATTCATATTTTATTTTTTCATTTTTTGAGTTGAACATTTTTATTTTTAATTAAAATTTTGAAAAATATGAATTATATCCCGGTGATGGTTCATAACCTTAAAATATCTTAATACTTCAGTTTTTTAAATAAATTAGAAATATGTCATGAGATAAATTTATTGTTTATATTTTTCAATTTGATATTTATTGTTTATACCAATCAATTTAATATCTTAGATCAATCATACCAAGAACTTAGTGAAAATTTTTTTTTTTAATTTTATTTTAACTTTAAACACGTGTAATTTATTGCCATCATTTAAATTAATTTAAATTTTGGATAAATAAAAGTTATTTTCACAACTAATAAATATTTTTATAATTTACAGCGATGATGTGCCCTCCGCACAGCCCTCAAACTCAATGGACGTGAACACGGCGCTCCAAGAAGTCTTGAAGAACGCCCTGATCCACGATGGAGTAGTTCACGGTCTGCACGAAGCAGCAAAATCCCTCGACAAGTTTGTACTTTGAATAATTTTAAAAAGATGATCTAACAAAACATCGGATGAGCATTAAAACCTCTAATGATGGAATTTTTTTAATTTCCTAGGAGGCAAGCGATGCTGTGCATCCTCGCTGAGAACTGCGACGAGCCAATGTACAAAAAACTTGTCCAGGGGCTCTGCAATGAGCATCAAATCCCGTTGATCAAGGTCGACAACAACAAGAAACTCGGCGAGTGGGCTGGGTTATGCAAAATCGACAGTGCAGGAAAAGCACGTAAAGTTGTCGGCTGCTCTTGCGTCGTTATTAAGGTAATTGATTACTCTACTATCAAATCTTCATTATTTTATTTAAAAATTCAATTTTCTATGATGATATGACAGGCTCCCTCAACTGAGGTGAACCCAATTTAAAAACCCTGCTGAAATATGCCAAAATGTCTGATAATTTAATTTAGTTATTTAATTTATTAACTTGATTATTAAACTTGTAGTGATAAAAAATGTTTTTGATTATTTTTCAGGACTTTGGTGATGATACCAGTGCAAAGGAAGTCCTTATCGATTATTTGAAACAAAACAGTGGCCACTAAACGTTTAAATAAATAATACTTTAAAATAATTGACTGTTTTTTTTTAATTTAATTGATAATAGCTAATAATAATAATTTAATTTAATTTAATAAACGCGTTGATAAATTTAGTCGCGGTCCTTACTTATTTTTTCACATTCATTTTTGTGAGTTGTCCAATCTTTCACTTGACATTCTCTAAAAAAATAATTATAGTTATAAAAAATTTTATTTTACTATTTAAATTTGAAAATCTGACAATTTAATATTTTTATTTATTCTTTTATAAGGTTGCAAAAATTTTAACAATTTTTAAAAATATTTTTTAAAAAATCGGGAAACTGTCAGACATTCAATTTTAATTTAAACAAAATTTATATTAATATTTAACTACTACAACTGGATTACCTTCCGCAATACCAAACTTTTTTACACTTGGAGCATCGTTTATTAGCCAAGCTGCGACATACAACACACTTGTTATCATCAATAACCATTTTATCCAAATCATAAGCTTCGCTTAAAACTTGCGCCATGTTTTGAACATACTCAATATTTTTAGCGAAAAAATATTCTGACTGTTGTTCAGCAATTTTTTTCCACTTCTTTTTATACTTATCAACAATTGACGACCTGATCTAAATATAAATCCAGCAATTAGAAATAATTATTAAGGTAGAAGACCCAGTTATTGACACTTGCAATTTTATTTTAATTAAAAAAAAAATAAATCAACTACATTAAATTAAAAAATATATTTTTTAATTATAAATTGGTTTTTTGAGAACATTTAATTTTTTTAATAAGAATAAAATTGCAAGTGTCAAATAACTAGACCAATGTCAATAACTCATTCTTTTACCACAACAATAAAAAAAATCGACAACTCACTTGAGGAATAATTTCAACACAAAAGCCAGGCTTGGAATTAGGAACCTGCGAGGTGACATTCAAACAACTAAGCCACCTACGAAAGTCGACGAGCGGAGGAATCTGATCGAGCACTCTTTCATGTAAATACTTTTGCAGCTTAGCCAGCGCAGATATTCTAAACTCGGAAACTTGGTAATAAGTAGCGGCTTTGGGGTTGAGAAGAAGCTCGCGAAGTCCAAACCAAACTTGGCCTTCTATTTTAGAAACTTTGTCTTCCTCGCCTTCTTTTAATTTTTCCCAGACTCCGATAGTGGAATAAATCATTCTAGTTCCATCGACTATTTTTATCCAAGGACGCAATTCAATCAATTGAGCAAACAAATAAGGAACATCGTGAGTTGATAGCAAACGTTTCAAAGTAGTCAGAGGTAAGGAATCAGCAAAACTTCCTAAGTAACCGATTATTGAGATGCATTTGATACTAACGTCGAATTCTATTTCTTTTTTTTTTAGTAACAACTCTTCAAGACAAGATTGATCTTCTTTGATGTCATTACTATCACCCTGGTCTTGCTCTTTTGGAAAAATAATTTCAGTAATACAAGAAACCGCGTAGTCTATTAAATCAAGAGCTGGGTCTTCAAGAGACTCTACGCTGTCAGAGTGGTACAGAATATTCTCCAGTAACGAAACTGCGATGCTTTCGTGGTATAAAACACTGTAGAGCATGAAAGTGTTGGAAGGTTCCTCATCGAGCTCCAGGAGTCGCGGAAATATTTTTTGTTTCCACACGGAAATTTGTATGGCTTCGAAAATCAGAATCGGAATTTTTTGGAAAGTTACGAACCACTCTTTGATTGTTTCCTCACGCATATGAGTGATCTCTAACACACTTTGCTGACTTAAGTGCATCAGCTTTTTGTGATACTCGAACCAGAGCTTTGTTCCCATTTCCTCGAGCTTGGAAGGCGATAGATCTTTGATGATCATTTCTGCTTCCCATGGAGGGATTACGTACTCAAATTGTTGAGACATATTTGTATTTTTAATTATTTTTAACTGAACTTGTATTTTATTGTAAATTGATAAACAGTTGCTATAGCAACGAGTTCTAGCTTCTGAATTAAAGTAAATAACCGAATAGTCGCAAGTTTAGGCGATTTGTGACGATTTTTAAGTCAAGTTTGAGATTAAAAAATTATAAGTTGAAAAATTGGTTAAATTTTATGAAAATGAAGTTAGTCGACGTTTTAAAATTTTTAGAAGTTTTTTATTGAAAAAAATTTCAATTAAACAATTAAAAAAAAAAAAATTCACTTATAAAAAACTCGAAAAATTATAAGTGTAATTTTTTAGAAATATATTTTTAGTTGTAATTTAATTAATAATAAAAAAAATCAAAAATTTTTAGACGCCTGCTAACTTCAGTGTCATTCAATTTTTTAAAATAAAATTGTCAATTGAATGATAATGAACATTATCATAATAAAAATAATAAATTGATATTTTATTAACAAATTAATTATAAAAATTTATTTTTAAATTAAAAAACGTGCATTACCAACCTCTGAGAAAAGATCAGAAGGGTTCCAACACTTAGCTGACTTTTTCTGAAACAAAAAATAATAATTTATTAATTAATTTTTTTTTTTCTATAAAATAAAATAAAATAGATAATTATTAAGTATGTGAAAAAATACCCCAATATGTCAGATGATGAATTTAGCTGCATCTGGAACTCTGGCCTGCTTGTTTTGAAAATTCTGAATTTTTACACTCACTTCAAAACTTACACTCACTCACTCACTTTTACTAATTACTCAACTACACTCACTAAGGATGAACACAATTAAAATAAACTGAATTTTATTAATTTTACGATTTTTAAAATCGCGACGGAAATTTCTAGAACTCTTTTTATCAACGAAAAGCTTGAACTGGTACTTGGGTCGGATTTTTATATTTTTGTAAATTATTATTAAAAATTTTTTTTTTTTTAATAAGCAATTTTATGAGAAATATACGGATCAAAATCATTAATTATTAATTAATAAAAATATGATTATTATTATAAATGAAAATATAATAGAATATGTTAAATTAATTGTTTTAAGCAAGTTAAAATTCATGACAATGAAGTTAGAAACGTCTAAAAATTTTTGATTTTTTTTATCAATTAAATTACAACTAAAAAAATATTTCTAAAAAATTACACTTATGATTTTTTAAGTTTTTTATAAGTGAATTTTTTTTTTTTAATTTTTTAATTGAAATTTTTTTCAATAAAAAACTTCTAAAAATTTTGAAATGTCAGCTAACTTCATTTCCATTAAAATTAAATATCGAAAATTATTAATAAAAAAAAATATGTTAAAATATATTCAATTAAAAATAAATTAAATATTTAATGCGCCTTAAATATTGGATAATTAAAGATAATTATTTGAGATTATTTGATTATAAATTTTTTAATGACCGTTTACTATTAATTTTAATGAAATTAGTTATGAGTTTGTGTATATCTATATATACAGTGTATATAGATATACTGACCGTGATCTAAATGCGAGTACCGAAATATAAATATTTATCGAATAATTAATAAAAATTTATCGAAATAGCTGTTTTCCAAATTTTTTTCAGTCATTTTAATAAAAAACATCCCGAAATAAATAGGTAATTATTGAAAAAAATTGATAAAATACGCAGTAAATTCGAATCCCGCCACTATGACACCTTTCAGAATATATTTTAACGTTTTTACAAATAAATACGCGAAAATTTATATAAATTATTATTCCCGAGTGATTCTAGAGCTGTTTTATTAATATTTAAGTACAAGTTAGTGGATAATTACCCTAAAAACTAATTATTTGTACCCAATTACCAAGATCTAGCTTTTCTAGGCGCGACCGTTGATTGTTCTGAGCCCGAGAGTCAAGTCGGTTGTGTGCACGAAAGTAGGGGAGAGTCTCGGCTTCCTATTGGCCGATCCTCTCCGCGCGCTTGCGCACTGGGCCCGCAAATTTCAAATTTGTAACGAAACTCGGAGTAGATGACGCTAGTAGATCAAAGCGCGAAAATTTGAATGTAATTTAATTAGAAAATTATTTTATCAGCAGATGGTTATTATTATGAATTCTTGACAAAAATAAATATTAAAATATTTTATTGGTTATAAAACACTTCGTCATTTTTTGACGCTGTTGACAGTAAATAATACAAAGTTTATTATTTAATTTTTATATTTAATAATTGTTCTTAATTTATGAACTTATAAAAATAATTATAGTGCAAATAAAACTTTTGTAAATATATTTTAACTCTAAAATCAGCAGACAATATTGTTTTTAGTTTTTAATTATTAAAAAAAAAATATTGTGTGATTTAATTAATTTTTTATAATAATATTTTATAATATTGGATGAGACAATAAATGTAAGTATTTAATTTATTTATTTTATTTAAAATAAATAGTTAAAGTAAAATAATTCCATTGTTGTTTATTGATTAGATTAAATTGTTAATTATATAAAAAAAATTAATTATTTTTTATTATTGTTTTAGAAAACAAGAACATTTAATTTGAAGATGGCCCAATAAGGACGTGTTAAAATTTCTCAAGACTACACGATGAATTATAAATCTAAAATATAAAAAAAATCAATGAAAATTAAGTTAACTGACATCTAAAAATTTTCAGAATTTTTTTTTATTAAAAAAATTATTACGAAAACATAAAAAAAAAAATTTCAGCTGTAAAAAACTTGAAAAATTATTAGTGCAATTTTTAAAAACTATTTTTTTGTTCTAATTTAATTATTTAAAAATAATCAAAAAATTAAAAACGTCGGGTAATATTCGTATTGTAAAAAATATTCTACGTTTGACAGTTCAAAAATTCAGAGAATAAAAAATAAATTAATAATTGAAAAACATTTTAATCATACAAAAAATTAATACATAGTTTGTATTTTAAAAAAATAATCTAGTTTTTATCTTCAGTGTTATTAACTACGAAATTAAAATTTTTTTGTGTGGTGTAAAATAAAAAACAATTCTAAATTTTGATTATAAAAAATCTCAGATATTTTAAAACCGCGCTTTTTATTCTCGGCAAACTTCACGTATACTTTCAATGATCGATAACAACTAACATAAAAGTGTCAGATATAAATACCAGAGTACAAAAATAAACCATCTGTAATTATTTACATTTTAAAATGTATTCATTTAAGCCATTCGTGTTCAAAGAATGTGAAACTTCATCAAGTGAAATAAAACCTAGCCCCAGGACCTTCCCTACAATATTCTGCAATGAAAAGTATCTGTACTCATTCAGTGGCTACAAGTACATGTTGAATATCCACACTGCGACAGATTTTGACGACGCGAGAATAATAAAAGAGATTTGGAAGTATAATTTAGCCACTGGTGTCTGGACGTGCTTGCCAGAGCAGCGATTTTTCCCCACCAACAATGAAATTATCCTGGGCATGACTTTCAAGTCTGAAAAGTTGATCGTAGTCACTTGGAACAAGTGTCAGTCAAAAGGATACCTCTACACGCATTACTTGAAAAACGAAAATGAAGTTGAAAAAATGACAACCAAGGGTCCACTGCCCAAACGATTCTTTTCCCACAATTTTATAAGCCACGGGTCGTATTTATACACTATAGGAAATGACCGTGGCCTTGGAGTTTTTAGAATAGATCCAGAGACTGGAATCTGGGAGAAAATGTCTCCTGATAATGGCGATGACTTCCCAGGAGACTATGCTGATATTGAACTAGCGTTTGATGGAAGAAAAATTTATGTGATATTTGTAAAACTTCGAGGAGAAAGAATTCGTGAACTCAAGGTATCAAAAGTTTTTTAATAAATTTTATTTTATCCTCAAACAATTTTTTATCTTTATTTTACTCATCGAGACTTTTCATTTGAGTACCCACATCAATTTTTTATATATTTATATATATTATATATGAAAAATATATCAAAATGCATGTGGGTACTCAAATGAAAGCTCTTGATGCGTGTAACATCGGGATGAGCTTATATTTTAAAAAA